TCATATTTATTTACATTGTTTTTCGGCAAAATTGCATTTTTAGTCCTGCTGGTTTAACGCTGTAGTATTTTTTTTATCCCAAGATTTCAATTTTTTGTTATTTGATCATGTAATTTAGTATTTTGCTGCAATTTCAGTCATTCGGGATTGAAATTACAACAAAATTAAAATTATAGGACTTAAATTGCTAATAAAATATCCATCCAAAAGATTTTTATTAGCAAATTAAGTCATGTAATTTTAAATGTTATTGCATTTTCAGTCTAAAATGACTGAAATTGCATTGAATTTTAAAATTATAGGATCAAATAGCAAAATGTCTAATTTTTAGAAGTAAAAACGCCACCGTATCACACCAACAAAACTAAAATTGCAAATTTACCTTATTTTTTTTCAGAGGTCAGTTTGAAAGTATGGTCCAAATTAACCAATGGGAATTAATTTTTTATTTACATTGTTTTTCATGCCTTTTGGATTATCCAAAGATACCAAAAAAAAAAAAATCACTTTTCAAACTCATTTTGTTTTTTCATCTCCCAAGGAGTGGCACATGGATAATTATAAAATCACCCTCCATATTTAGCATTATTGCACAAAAGGGTTTAAGTTAAGAATTAGTAAATTACTACCTCCATATGTTGTTATTTTTTTTCTCACCCCTATAATACTGATTATTTTGCTCAGAGGGTCATACTTTTTTTAAAGGTCTATTAATATTATTTTTATATATGAAAATTTATTTATTTATTTGTTTTTGTGCAGTAACATCTACTATATAAATGACAATCTTGATAAGAGGACTTGGACATATATATTTGGAGCTTGCTGTGCCACAACAGTGTTCATCCCATCTTTCCACAATTACAGAATTTGGTCATTTTTAGGCCTTATTATGACTACTTACACAGCTTGGTATTTAACCATAGCTTCTCTTATTCATGGACAGGTTAGTATAATATAAGTACACTTTTTTAATTAAATTAAATAAAGTTTATTAGCATGTTAAATTAATTAATTAAATAATTAATCACAGTATTAAAATTAATGAAAGTGGAACTTTGGCATGCTTTTCTTTTATTATAGATTTAATTATTTTAATTCATTTACAAGAATATAAAATATTTTTTTTTTTTTACTAATTTTGGTAATTTATAAAGGTTGAAGGAGTAAAGCACTCAGGGCCAGCCAAAATAGTGCTCTACTTTACTGGGGCTACAAACATTCTTTACACATTTGGTGGGCATGCTGTCACAGTGTGAGTTATTAATTAAAATTCTTTGTACTATATATATTAAATTTATATATTAATTATTCAATTTATATTTACAAATAAATTATTTTGTAATTTTTTTTTTTTTTTTTAGGGAAATAATGCATGCTATGTGGAAGCCACAAAAATTCAAGCTAATATATTTGTTGGCAACAATTTATGTGCTAACACTAACACTCCCCTCAGCAAGTGCTGTTTATTGGGCTTTTGGAGATATGCTTTTGAACAGATCCAATGCTTTAGCTTTGCTCCCAAGAACTAGATTTAGAGATACTGCTGTTGTACTCATGCTCATTCATCAGGTACAACCCTTGAAGCACATTGTACAAGCTTCATCAAACACATGAAAATCCAAGTGTTAATCCTAATTATTAAGTCTAACTTAAAATTGAATCACATATTTTTTTTTTTTCATTTTCGAGTACAGTTCATAACGTTCGGATTTGCGTGCACGCCTTTATACTTTGTCTGGGAGAAATTTATCGGCGTGCACAACACGAAAAGCTTGTTCAAACGTGCCCTAGCAAGATTGCCGGTGGTTATCCCGATTTGGTTTCTAGCGATTGTTTTTCCCTTTTTTGGGCCTATAAACTCGACCGTTGGATCACTTCTAGTTAGCTTCACGGTGTATATTATTCCGGCCCTTGCGCATATGATCACTTTCGCATCCTCGACAGCCAGAGAGGTAAACGAACAAATAATTAATCGCAAATATTATAAATTTCAATTACATCAAAAATAAAAATTTTGGAAAAATTGTAATGCATTGAGTTTTGACACATATAATGGTTTTGATTCAAATTTGTTAATCTATTTTCTTTCATTCAACTCAAGAACATGTGTTCATAAAGATTAAATTTTGGCACATGGTTTATCTAATGGGATTGCTTTTCACTGTGTCCATAGTGTCACAATATATAGGGAAATGTTACGGTCGGGATTTATAACCGTTAGATCATTATGTAACCGTCGAGGATAGTTGATCTAACGGTTACAAACTCCGACGGAATGGTTCCGTAATGAGACCGTAGCATCTCCCCAATATATATATGCCTAGCTAAGATATTTTCAAGCAACTATTTTTTTTTTCTCTTTAAATCTTATTTAGTGGCTAAAGTTTGTATTGGATTTTAGGTGACATAGCACAATCTTTTGGCATCTTTTTTCACACATTAAAAACAATATGTTAGGTAGCTAAAGATTTAGATAACACTACCCATGTGAATATTAAATCAAAGGAAAAAGGGAAGACATAAGTTAGGTTATGAAAAAAAAAATAATAATAATAATAATTAAGTAATGACTCTCACACTTATCCATTTGCTGCTTGGCTAATTTATTATAGTATAGAAAGAATTTAAAAATATATATATAATATTTAGATTTGACTAAAAGAAAAAATCAACTATTCATTCAAAATTATAATGGTCCTCTTAAATAATTCCCCAAGAGGCTACTTGTAACTTTAAATATAATAATTGGGTATTTTTGTAATAATTTAAGCCCAAATCATGCTTTTTAGTTGATTAGTTGCCCTACTATATGCCTTAACTTCTTCATTTTTTACCCTTTTAATTATTATTTTATTTATTTTATTTTTATTTCAGAATGCTGTGGAAAGGCCTCCAAAATTTGTTGGAGGTTGGGCTGGGCTTTACTCGATGAATCTATTTGTTGTGGTATGGGTTTTTATTGTTGGGTTTGGATTTGGAGGGTGGGCCAGCATGGTCAACTTCATCCACCAAATTGACACATTTGGACTATTCACAAAGTGCTATCAGTGCCCAAAACATAATTAAAAGTGTGGTTAGAATATTACATGATTAATTAAGATGGAAAAGGGTATTTTTGGCATATCAAGGTTTTTTTATACTTATGGAGGTGTGTAAACATTAAGTTTGGCCTTTTGTGACATTTTCCCTTTTTTTTTTTCTTTGGGTATTTTGTTTGGGTTTTTCTATATAGTTGAAGGGTTTGTATTGGAATGTCACACACATCTTTTCTCATGTGAAATTTATGTATGTATTTAATGTGAAAACATTTTGATATTATAAGAAAAATCCTTTCTTTTAAAAAAAAAAGTCTATTTTTTTTTTTCTTTTAGGAAAGTTTAAAGTTCAAGAATTGAACAAATCCCATCTTAATTAAGTACTTGCTGTAAAATTAGGCCCACAATGTTGATGGATCATGGCCCTTTCAATCAAGCTCACATAGTTACACTTTCTATTCGAAAATTGACATTTTTTTAGGCCCATTAACTTCATGTCATGTTTGTTTTGAATTTCTGCCTAGCTAATTTGACAGGATGTGCAACTTCCATACTACATTAAGTTGTTTTTACAAATCTTTAGAATAATTTTAAAGTGATTAATGTAGAGTTGATTGAGGAAAGAAAGGAAAAAAAAGGAGTAATTTGATGTGATGCATATGAAATTGTATTAATTAATTGACAAAGGAGAGTATTTTGATGTGACCACCTAAGTTTTATGAGTTAGAACGTCATATATTGCCAATATAAATAATTTCGAACTGAAAAATAATCGCGTTATCATGTATGATATGTTCATCTCATGTTATATTCGTTGAGGACATATTAAGTACAACATGATTGATAAAAAAAACAATATTTTGATTTTGTTATATTAGTTCACATTTCCTAAAACTAATTGCCAAATGAGCATCCATCCTAAGCTATATATGAATCACTTTCACCAAACATTACCACTAAAATTTCACCATCCTCACTTTTTTTGGCATTGCACAACAAAAACAAATGAGAAAATCCATTAAATTAAGCTACAAATAAAACCTCATGATCCCATCCCAATGAATACATAAATAATATTGAATAATAATAATAATAATAATAATAATAATAATAATAATAATAATAATAATAATAATAATAATAATAACTACATTAATTAATGAATATATTACAAAATAATCCACTGCATGTGAATGGTATACCAAATCTTGGTCTAAGGAGAGTGAGGATAAACACATGGGGACTTTTTGGCCTCTTTTGTGTCAGTCTTTTTTCTTCTTCTTCTTTAATCTTTACACATGATGCACACAAAGGTTATATAATTGGGAGTCAAAAAATGTCACATGATGTGAGAGACCTAATGGGCAATTTGATGTCAAGTAGTGGGGATATACTTTTTCTTTACAAGGACAAGTGAGTTGAGACACAAGTTCAAGTTTGGTATAAGTGGTCATTTTAGGGAAGTTTGTATTTGTCTATTAGCATTTGTACACACACATATACAGAGATGTTATTGGTTAGCCCGGGCGGTTTCAGAATAGTCTTAGCGGAAGATTTCGGGCTAAACGATCTGGGCCTTAAAATCTCGAATTTAAACGGGCTACCAATAAAGGGACCTAACCCTAACCCTAGTGGGCTTCGGGCTTGACGAACTATAATAATAATAATAATAATAATAATAATAATAATAATAATAATAATAATAATAAATATTACAACGGTAGTTAACAATTGTTTTCAACAACTATTTAGTATTTACCGCTTTATATATATACAATACAACTACACTCATGTATTAACACACGTTACAAACTCTTAAATGACATTTTTTTTTCTTAAGATAAAAAAATGTTTGAACTATTATTTATAATTGTTATTTTACTACTTATTTTGTATGCTTTAGAAATTTTCACGATATTGTATCATACTACCGAATTTATATTCTATCACTATTTTCTATGTGTTAGGTCTTTGTCTCATGTATTTTTTATTAGCCGTTTTAATTAGCTTAAATAATTTGGTGTACGAAGTAGAATAACGAAATTGTTAATAATTATCTTTCATAATCATAATAACTTGTTTCAATTCATAGTTACATATGAAATAGAATAACAAAATTGTAATATACGAGGTATCTTAGTGCATATTTACTTGCTGCAAACATTTACACCGTTCAACCCAATTTAAACGGGCTAGCCCTAGCGGGCTTTGGACTTAAAGCCCTGATTTAAACGGACTACCAAAACAGGGCCATAACCATTTTTTTTTCGGTCTAAACGGACCGACCCGTCGGGCCAAAGACCGTTTAACATCTCTACACATATATATCATGCATTGAATTAGCATAATTCCAATAACTCATTTGTTCATATTATTATACTCCTTGTAGTTTACTTAAAAATGAAGCAAGACAAAAAAAAAAGAAAAAAAAAAAGATTAACTTATAAGTTTCCTTGTGTTTAATTGATGAATATTGAGTTAGATTTAATCTAAATTTATTTCCTTATTTAGTGTAGGAACATGCATGGAAAGGATATGGACGCGACTAAAGGACATGGACGCGGGTTGAACGCGTATGGAAGGTGAATAACCTAGATATGAACCAACTAGAACTAGATCATCCGAATCT